TATGTCAAGCTTTATATTACTCACATTAACACTTTTTTTTTTTGACAATGTCTTGCTGTGTAGCCCAATCTGGTCTGAACTCACAGTTCTCTTGCCTCAGCCTCCCAGGTGCTGGGATTATAGGCACTTAACAGCACACCTTGCAACATTAATACATTTTAATTATTTGGTATTATGGTGCACAAATTTTGAGAGTGACTATATAAGAGTTAACCTGCGGAGCATATAAAAATGTACAATGTAAGTTTCCATATCCAAAGATTATGATTCAGCAACTTTTTTGGTTATTTGTTTTTATTTATTTATTTTTAAAAACAGGTTTATTGAGATAAAATTCATGTACTATAGAATTCACCAACTAACAGTTTGCAATTAAATGGTTCATAGTGTAGACCTAGAATTATGTAACTATCTCTACAATCGATTTTAGACATTTTCCTCATCCCCAAAAGAATTTCTTTTCTGGGAGCAAACCTGTAATCTGAACTACTTGGAAGATGGGGGTAGGGAGGCCAGCCCAGGCAAATGTTAAGACTCCATCTTAATAAATAAGCCAGGTGTGGTGACTTATGTTAGTAATTCCAGCCACCAGGTGGTTGAGGTCATAGGTAGAAGGATCATGGTCTGAGGCTACCCCGGGCAAAAAGATAATGATACGCTATCTAAAAAATAACTAAAGCAAAAATGGGCTGGAGGCATGGCTCAAGTGATGGCTGTCCACCTAGCAAGTGTGAGGTCCAGAGTTTAAACAAACAAACAAAACAGTGAATAAATTATTTTCTTATTGCCAGTCACTCATCATTCTCTCCCTACCCTGCAATCCTAGGAAATTTCTAACCTGTTTTCCGCCTTTATATAGATTTGCTTATTCTGTACGTTTCTTGTAAAGGAAATCAGATAATATTTGGTTTTCTGGATAATCCATGACATAGAGTGTATCAGTATTTTATTTCATTATTATTGCCAAATATTTTGTATAGAAGGAAAGTTCCTGGGTAACATTTGCTACTAGTTAAAAAAAAAATTTTGGTGCTGAGACTTGAACCGAAGGGCCTCAGCACCAACCCCTGTACTCACCAGATGAAGTTCCGGTTAACTGTGTGGAAAACTATGAAAAGCACTATCTGCAGCATTTTTAGTGTCCCCAGAGCTCACTCACTCATGTTCTCTCTCTCCCCCTCTCTTTCTCTGGAGGGACTAAGGTTTGAACTCAGGGCTTTGCTGTTGCAAAGCAGGTACTCTCCTGCTTTAGCCACAGCTCCAGTCCATTTTGCTTTCATTATTTTGGAGCTAGGGTCTGGTGAATGACTTGAACCGTAATCCTCCCAATCTCAGCTTCCCAAGTAGTTAGCATTACAGGAGTGAGACATTGGTGCCCAGCCAGAGCTATCTCTTAATTCCTTTAAAACTTGAGGCTGCTATCCACTAGCTGTTTCAAAATCATTTTATTGGGTAAAAAGCAGAGACTTTTTATGAAACTTTGAAGTGTGTTTTTTTGTGTACATCTTTTCCAGGTTTAGGTTATGAACACATTCAGGTAGGAAATGTATTTCTTACTGCAGGATGTTTTTAGAAATAGTTTAAAAAGTTATTCTTTAAAAATTATCTTCTTCTCATCAACTATACTGTCTTTCCTGGGATAAAATGGTAGGATATATGGTTAGCCTAAATGATTGAATCGAAATAACTAGCCAAAGTTGGAGGTTAGGAGTTAAGAACTGATAATACAGTGACGGTAGTATGGTTCTGGGGACCCACTGCTTGGATTATTTTGGTTTCCTTTGTGTTGAAACCCAACACTGGTAAAACATTTTATGCAGTATTCTTCTAAAATATCATCACTTCTATAGCTATAAAATGTAAAACACTGGTATATGAATAGATAAATTCTTATCTTGTTATATAAAATAGTAAGAATTGTATTTTGGACTTTGGGGCCACAAACAATCTCTGTCATATATGCTACTTTTCTTTTTCCCATTTATTTATTTATAGATCTAGGGTTTGAACTTGGCCTCACTCTCACTAGGCAGGCACTCTACCACTAGAGTCACTCTGCCAGTCCTGTATTTTGAATTCCAGAAAAATGGATTATCCATTAAGCTTAACCTTGATAACAAAATTGGGTAGTTAACACAGAATAAAAAAGAAAACATAGGTCAATTATGAGCATGTTGGCAGAAATTGTAAACAATTTAAAAAGATAAGTCAAGCAATTTATCAAAAGAATAATTACCAAGTAGGACTTGTTTCAGAATATAGAAGTCAATAGCAGGAAACTTGATTAAGGTAATCTTATACTGCATTTGCAGATTAGAGGAGAAAAATCGTATGTAAGTCATCTGAGCACATTCTAAAAATGTAGTAAATTTAACACTAATTTTTGTTATTAAAACTTCAGTGGTTCAAGAAACAGATGGCAAAGTTCTTAACCTAATTCAGTGTGTATGTGTATGTATGTGTTTGTGTGTGTAAGTATGTATACACTGAAAACTTGGATTACAGTACATAACTTGCATTACATAAAATAAATAAGACAGAAGTATTTATTATTGTTGCCATCACTTAATGTTTTGTCAGAAGTCCTTATCAATGCAATAAAAAAGAAAAAAGTAGAAATGTAAGTATTGGGAAAGAAGAGAAAACACAGGCACTGTGATATGATTACATACCTAGAAAATGTTAATAAGGCAGAAAACTATATTTACAAATTCAATAAAGTGACCTGATAGAAGATAATTTGCAAAAATAAGTGATTGGTTAGAAAGTGAAATGAAAAGAGATAGCAACACCCCCGCCCCACGCACACACACAGTACTTCTGAATAGATTGTATAAGAAAATTGTGAGAGAAAGGAGCTGTTATCAGTATGATGCTACATATCATTTAAGAAAACAGATGTAAACACAAATAACAACATGGACAAATCTAAAAAACTGTGGTAAGCAGAGGAAGCAATATATGAAAGAATATTTACTATGATTCCATTACTCTATCACTCAAACAAAAAAATCATAAACTACATTTTTTGGCTAGATGTATTTAAGTGACAAAACAATAAGGAGAAGCAAGAGGACAGTAATAACAAAAGTCACGTGGTGGTGACCTCAGTGGACGTTGGAGGGGCATTTGCAGGGCATCTGGGTACCTTTTCTTTCTTTTTTTTTTATCTTTCTTTCCTTGCCTTCCTCCTTCCCCTTCCTCCCTCCCTTCTTTCCTTCCTTTTTTTTCTTTCTTCTTTTTCCTGTACTGGGGTATGAACTCAGGGCCTTAGGCTTGCTAAACAGGTACTTAACAGTATTCTGTTTCTTGTCTTAAGTGGTGATTTCATGAATATTACTTTTATATTAGCTAATCTCTGTATATCACTACACCTATTTTTCAATAGGTGACTTTATGTCACAGTAGAAGAAAAAAAGATAAAGGTAAAAGAGGAGATGGATAATAGAACAGAATAGAAAATTCCAGAAACAGACTGGGGGGTGTGTGTGTGTGTGTATTAGAATTTATTATGTGGTAAATGAGGCATTTCAAGTCAATGGAGAAAGAGATGTATTTCTCAATAAATAACTTGAGAAAATTGAATTTTCTAAAGGAAAAATTAGATTCCTAACTCATTCCATGATAAAGCAAATGTATTCCACATAAAGATCTAAATATGAAAAAAAACTGTATTAGTGACAGAAGCAATAATAATATTGAGATTTAAAATGGCTTCCAATGATTGGGGCTGTACTTCAAGTGGTAGAGCTCTTGCTTAACAAGCTTGAGTCCCTGGATTCAAGCCTCATTGCCACAAAAAAATAAATTGTCTTCCAAGTCAGGTCTGGTAGTTCATGCCTGTAATCCCAGCACTCAGGAGGCAGAGGCAGGAATATCTTGAGTTTGAGACCAGCTTCAGCTACAGGGCAAGATCCTATCTCAAAAACACAAAAATAAAGTAATAATAAAAATATAGATAGATACCATAGTGGAAAATATTGGTAAATTAAAATGTATGTACATTACAAATTCTACAGTAAAAGAATAAATAGAAATTAAAAGGAAGAAATGAGCATATCTAATATACTGGAGAATATTCACAGCCTTTCCAAAGAGCAGAAATTCAAGATAGACTGATAATATCCAATATTTGTGAGAATGTGGGGAAATAAGTTTTTTGGTGGAATTTATATAAATTGGTATAGCCTGTTGGGAGACCAGTTTTTCTTGACATTGAAATTATGTTTTTACTTGATAATTCTATTTCTTTAAAAATTTGCCCTTCTGAGAGGCTTGCATATGACATAAAGATGTATGTATATGAAAGTTCCTTACATCATATAGAATAGAAAAAAATTCAAAACCAACCCAGTGTCTCTCCCTAGATGGATTGTTAAATAAATTAATATAGCCCTGGTGTGAAATTTTGACATCGTTAGTTTGCTTACCATATTGTGGAACTGTCAGGGCATATTGCTATTCAAAAAAAATTTTCATCTAATAGCATATTGTTATTTAAAAATCATAAAAGCTAGAATTCCTATATGTATTTAAGTATGTAAAATGTCTGGAAGGAAACTTAGAAAAATATTAATAGTGATTACCTCAGGAGTAGGGAGTAAAGTGGGCTGTAAATTTTTATTCTTGTTTGAATTTTATGTAGTGAACATATACTGTGTGGTTAATTTTTAAAGAAAAGTTTATTCATTGGGCTTCCAAACTAATGTGTTATCATCATACTAGAAAACTTAAAATTAACATCCGTATCTAAGGACAAGTCTATTTAGTTGATGACTGAGGAAGAACCATTTCTCATATTTTTTTTTAATCTAATGTTTCTCTTTGTTTAGTAGAAGGCATATCAAAGATTAATATTTCTTTATTTTTAAAAATAATATTTTTGAAAGACATGGCAATATTGGCTTTACCTCTTTCTGTCTTAAATTTTCATAAATCTGGAATTTCCAAGTGAGTGTCTTAAAGTCTTTATCTAATTTATAGTTTTACTTTTTGTCCAGGCCCATCAAACTCCAGTGAAGAAAGTGAGTCCTGGAGAAGAAAGGAGGAAAATGTTTGAGGTATAAAGATATCTGTCTGCTTATTTTAAAGCTTTGCAAAAACAGTTGTAAAAAACCTTACATATAAAGCCTCCAAACCTTTCCTCCTTATTTCTTTCAAGTACCTATAACTTCTTACTTTTTTTTAACCTCCCTGGGCATACTTCTGCCACTGGTATATTAATGTTCCTGATGAAAATCCAAAAGTAGGAATAATTATCAATAAAAATGTTCTTTTTAAATTTTTTTTATTTAAGGAACCAACAAGAAAGAGGAGGTTTGGATTTATTGAAAAAGAAAAGAAAGAAAAGGATCAGGTAGCATTTTTGTTCCTATTTTTGTTCCTTTACCAAGTTGTAGATTATAAGAATTTCACATTCTAAGAAGTATGTCTTTAAATTGTTACAGATTAGTTTTATGAAGGCTGAACAAGTGAAAAGGCAAGAAAAGGAAAGGGTAAGGGATACTCCATTTTCCGTGGTACATCTCTCCTCTCCCCATATACATACTTTTTTAAAAAGGGAAGTGACTGATTTCCATTTTATTGCTAAGTGTATTTCATGATTTTGTATTAAATAGTTGAAATGGTGTTTTGTTTGTTTGTTTGTTTTCCCCAAAAGTTGGAGAGAATAAATAGGGCCAGGGAACAAGGATGGAGAAATGTGTTAAGTGCTGGTGGAAGTGGTGAAGTAAAGGTAGGCATTTAATACCAATATAGCTATACTGCTGGGTTTTTCTCCAGTTTCACATTGCTCTTTAAAATGTGTATTACTGGTTGTTCTTTTTCTTTTTTTTTGGTGTACAGTTAAGTTCTGTCTAGAATTCTTCAGCATTTATTATGATTTCTTAGCTTTCCTGCATATATTTGATATATTAATGACTAATATGTGACACTGTTAAACTTGCTTTTAAAAGTTTCATGTGCTTTCAGAGAAATCTCAAGTACAAATCAAGTACAAAATCGAACACAATTCATTAAAATTTTTCATGTCACTTAAAAAATTAAGTTCTCAGAAGACTCTCTCCAAGTTCATCTCCATACATTCCCTCAACACTTTATGCTCTCTACTCATGGTGAACTAAGGACCTTATTTGTGTTTTCCTTACTATGTTAGGCTCTTTGTCTTTTCACTTGTGTTTCTCTTTACTTTATAACATACCTCCTTCCTCATTCTCACTCCTACCTCCATTCATTTACCTACATAATCAATTACCTAGATAACCATTTACCTAAATTTCTTAATTCAAACATTCCTTTTGGGTATATCCAGACTCTATAACCTCGGGCAAGCGACTTAACTTTCTTTGGCTTTAGTCTCTTCATTAGTGTTTTTGTTTATTTGTTTGCCTGAGAACAGTGGCTTGAAGTGGCCTGCAGGGGCTCAGATGGTAGTCTCCTTTACTGTATTTGCTCTGTCAGTTTGAGCCTTGTACTTCCTCCTTTGCTCCTGACCATCCTATATGTGTCTCTGTCTGTGGTGGGCCAGGTTCTAAGATGGTCTCTGGGATTTCCCACCCCTGCTGCATACCCCTTGCATTCCCTCTTCTTCCTTCATGGGTGGTCTAGTAGCTCCTTTGGTTAGATTATGTTACTTGGCAAATGGCCATTCCCACAGTTGCTCCCATGTTACATTAACATATAAGACTTCCTCACAGCAGACTGGAAGTGGAAAAGAAGTCCAGAGAGATCTAGCTCTGCTAACAGCAAACTTTAATGTGGCAAAAAAAAGTATAGGAGACTTCTGGATACTGATAGTGGTCTCTAACCAATAACTAAGAAGAAAATGGTGACCTTAGACATAGAGCCACAAAGAGATGAATTCTGCCAAGAACCAGGGAGCATAGAAGAGATCCTGAGCTTCTGATAAGAATAGTAGCCCTGGCTGACAATTTGATTTCTGCCTGGTGAGATCCTCAGCCAGGCATCCAGGGAAACTGTGAGATAATAAATGCATATTGCTTTTAGTTTCTTACTTTGTGGCAGTTTGTTATACAACAATAGAAATGAGCACACTATTATTCTTCAGCATTATCATTTTAATTTCTGTCATTGAATCAGCTTTAATCAACATGTCTTTAAGCTATAAATTCACCTGACCAGTGCCCATCTTGGTATTTAAGTATACAGTAGATACTTAAGAAGTTGATTACCATTCTTGGTTTTTTCCCTCAAAAGTTATGATTTGGATAAAAGTTTTCTTTGTTTTATTTAGACATGTATAATCTGTCCTGAATTTACTGTTTTTCATTCACTTCAGATGCAGTTTCTTTTTAAATCATATATCAGTAATTCAGTGAGTCATTTTTTCCCAATTCAGTATTAATGCAGACTTACTCAGTATTTTTAGTAATTCAGTTTTATCTAAGTAGACCTTATTACATCTTCATTGATAAGGAATGACTCACACAGAATTTGGTCTATTCTAAAATTAGCTTAGCCTATGTCTTACCTGTTCAGAAAGTGAAAAAGATCCTGGAATCTTACTCAGCATTTTATGCAAAGCACAAGATTAATGTGGAGATTTTGATGATTTTTTTTCTTCCTTTGCATATATTTTCAATGTAAATGAAGTTGTTTTTCCTATGATGTCTAAGGTGGTCATTAATCCTAAAAGTCCAGTTTTATCAATTTGAACTCAAGGCTTCACACTTGCAAAGCAAGGGCTTGCAAAATAGGCACTCTACTACTTGAGCCTCACTTCCACTCCATTTTGCTCTAGTTTTGGAGATGGGGTCTCGTGAACTACTTGCCTGGGCTGGCCTCAAACCACAATCCCCTGATGTCAGCCTCCCAAGTAACTAGGATTGCAGGCATGAGCCAATGACACTTTATTTGTTTTTAATATGTCTTATGAATAGGTTTTCAGAAAACTTGCATGTCTCACGTATTTAATTTTGATCATCTGCTGATGTGGAAGATGTATATCTATTGTTTGAAGATGTAATACTAATCCATAAAAGGGAACATGCAGCAACATGGATCAATCTCAGAAACATACTGAGATGAGGAAGACAGGTGAAATAGTAAATATTGGCTAATTCTGTTTATATGAAATTATAGAAAAGGCAAATCCAGTCCATGGTGACAGAAAGCAGATTAGTCGTTTTTGGCATTGAGAGGCTAGTGACTGCCAAAGATGAGGGAACTTTCTGGGGTAATTGTAATTGTGGAGGTGGCTACAGGAGTGCAGAAATTTATCAAAATTCATCAACTTATGCTTAGCACTGGTGAATTTTACTGGACATAAGTCATGCTTCAATGAAGGTGATTTTGTAAAGATCCCATTGCTTCAGTATTCTGATGCAGTATTTTCAACATGATTTTGAGTATAAGCATCTTCAGAGATGTTTAACTACTTTTGTTAACAAGAAACTTTTAGAGTACTCAAAGTTCAGATACTAATGCTAGGTTAACTTAGAGTAAGCAGTTTTATAGGCAATATGACTACCACTTAACAGAATTCTGCTTCTGATTTGCCACTAAAAACATGCATGTTTTTGAGGGTGTTTGGAAGAACCTCCTTAATGGAATTTCCTGCTTATTTATCTTTCATATTACTAGCAGTTTTTATCTCACATTGAACATTTTTAGTTCGTTATCTGTATTTATCTTGAACTCACTTTTTTAAAAAAAGCATGCTTTCTCACAAAATTGTGTGCAGTTTACTGTGCCAAGATATTAAAACAAATTTCCTCTCATTTGATTACACTGAAATTTCTTTTGTTTTATTCTAAATTAGTGTTTTTATAAAGGTTACCACTCAACTTTAGTCATATCTGTCTTATTTTCAGTGCTATTGACCTCTGCATTTGAGATTATTAATTTTCTCTTCTCAATGAAATTTTTCCATAATAAGTCTTATAGTTTTATAGTTTTTCTTTACTTTAACACCTTTTCTAAAATCTGTTGTCTGTGGTTGAGTTCTTATGACTTTACCTTATCCTTTGTCATTTTCTCAGAGAATTCACAAGTCCATTATTTATTTTTCATTGATTCCTTTTCTTCTGTCTTCTTGGCTTCATGTCAGTCAAAGGACTGACATTTCTAGCTACTACTGCTAGAAAGTTTAAAAATGCTTTCTGTTGTTTGTTATATAAATGCATACATCCAGGACCAATAGCACTAAGCTATACCAGCCTTTCATAGTCAAGTATAACACTGTATTTACCTATCTTCCAGTTGTGTTCGTCATATTTCCTTTCTCCCCTGTCTCCAACATCCAAAAATACTTACATATTGTTTATTTGACATACATCTATCCTTCTTTGTTAACATCACTGTTAAGGCCCATTGCTATCTTTCTCCAAGCCCTTTAAAAAAAAACAGGAATGTTATTTTTTTAAAATAATTTTACTTTATTAATTGTATTATATTAGGCATACTAGAGTTAATCTTTAAAAGGGATAGCTCTGTTCCTCTTGGAACTTTTTTTTGTTACATAAATAAATTTTTATTGGGTTTTTATTATTTGTTTTGATTTTATCATTTTTACATTTACTTATATGTATACATATATTATTTGGGCCACCTCCCCCGACCCTGGAATGTTAGTTTTGATATTTTTTTCTGTTTTGTGACTTTGCTTAGTACATACTACTTTGGAGTGTGCCTGCTATCATTCATCTACCACAAGATTGGGATGTTTTTCAACTTTTGTGCTTTCTTTCCCAACTTATTTGAAAACTAAGGATAGATATGTTTTACCTCTTTATCTGCACATAGAATGTGTTTCAGTAGTATTTATACCTTCATGTCTATTTTGTGAATAGATTTGGGATGTATCAAAAGCTATATGGAAATATTTTGTTATATAATTTGAGTGTTATATAAGCAGGCTCTGCTTTACTTCTAAACCATACATATTTAAACTTCCTAGAACAGAATCACATGAAATGTATATTATAAATTTGTTTCAAACAAATTAAGACCAGGTTTTTCATATTTAAATGAATTTAGTGACATTTTGATGTTTATCTTTATCAATTAAGTTATGCTTTATTGTTAGTAACCAAGAATACTACTTTTTATTGTTAATGTAGGAAAACATTTTTGCTTTTGACCATAATGTGCTCACATTAGGTAATGCTTTCTAAAAGTTAAGCATTGAAATTTACTTTTTCTTTTGAGTATAATACGTGTGTATTAGGCCTTATAAGATAAACATACAAGAGCTGTTTGTTTAATTCCTAGGCTCCCTTTTTTGGCAGTGGAGGGGCAGTAGCTTCGTCATCATCTTCTTCTCGAGGGCAATATGAACATTACCATGCCATTTTTGATCAAATGCAGCAACAAAGAGCAGAAGCTAATGAAGGAAAATGGAAAGGAGAAATACATGGTCGAGGGCTTCCAGAAAGGTATGACTATGTTCTGCAGAAGTTGCTTATGCTTTGCTTCAGAGAAAGTAATGAAAGTCACTGTGCATATTTATCTACAGAGGAATTCCACCTGGAGTTCGTCCAGGATTTCCTAATGGGGCTGCAGGTCATCACCATTTCCCTGATGCTGATGCTATTAGAAAAACTTTGAAAAGATTGAAGGCCGTGTCTAAACAAGCCAATGCAAACAGGTTGGACTGTGATGATCCATGAATTCATCATTGTGTGTAATTTTGTCTTGTCATGTGTAGTTTAGTACCTACACTTGTAGATGTTTTCTCCATTGTTTACATAGAAAAGACTTGCTTCCTGGATGCACTGATTTTTTAAGGTACAGATTTGGCCTTTGGTTACATAATGACAAATGAGTAGCTTTTCAATTCAGCCTCATTTTTGTGTCTTATTTATATGTTTAGACTGAACATATTATTTAAAGGAGTGTGTGATTACTTTCAGGCAACATGTGGTGGTGGTAATATCCATTTGCTTTAAATAAATGAGAACATAAATTTAAATAGAGTCACACTTTTCACAAACCTCCAAAATATATATATTTTTTGTCTTTTTCTCATCACTTAGAAGCCACTTTTCTCTTTGTTGTCTTATAATGTTTCCTTTTCACATTTATTTCTGTACCTCTTTGTGATCCTTTTCATCAAAGTTTTGCATTGAATTAATTTAATAATGGTGATTGGCAAGAGCTGTAATTTTCATAGTGCCTTTTCTCTTACGTATACCTGTGTATTTGCTTAGATGTTCCTATTTCTTCTGTAATTTCATCCTGATGAATTATGAAAGAATAGGTAATGTGTTTTGAAATTTTTAGTTATCTTTTCCTTTTTGTAATTTTAAAGTATTATAAAGATCTCTGTGTTTTTCCTCCATTATAAAAGATAATTAAAACGTACTTGGGTACATTCAAAAAATAAATGTACTTAAGTACAATAAATAATTGAGGTAAGTGAAAGTAACATTATGAATACATTATAAATTGTGTTCACAAACCTGAAATGTGAAGCTAGTTGTAGATTCTTTCCATTTTTGAGAAAGGAAGGCTAGATTCACCTATATGCATATTTTTGGTGAATCGTGAAGCAAAACTTTTGTTTTTGATGCTGGCAATTGAACCCAGAGCCTGAAGACATGCAGGCAAACACTTTACAACTGAGCTATATCTCTAGCCTTGGTAAAGCAAATTTTGTGCAAGGTTTTTAATCTTCCTGTATTATTGGTCTTTCTAGCATGCATACATTTTTAATTAATCAATTTTATTTTAGAGCAATTTTAGGTTTGCAATAAAATTGGGTAGAATGTATAGAGCTTCATATACCCCTTCTCTACAAGTGCAGGACCTCCCTATCAACACCCTCACTAGAGTAGTAACATTTGTTGCACTTGTTACACTTACCTTGACCCCACCACCCAAAGTCCATAGTTTACATTAGGGCTCACTCTTGGTGAAATGTATTCTATGGGTTTTAAGGAATGTATAATTACATGTGTCTAACATTGTACTATAATACAAAATATTGTCCTTACCCTAAAAGTCCTTTGCTCTACCTGTTTTTCTCTCCATCCTAATCCCTGGTATCCCCTGATTATTTTACTGTCACCACATTTTCACTTTTCCAGAAATGTATCTAGTTGGAATCATGTAGTATATGGCCTTTTCAGATTGGCTTCTCATATTTAGTAATACTCATTTAAGTTACATCTGTGTCTTTTCATGGCTTGATAATTATTTAACACTGAATAATACCCCATTATATGATAAATATTTATCTTATTAGCCTGCTGAAACACATCTATGTAGCTTTCAAGTTATTGCAGTTATGAATAAAACTGCTGCAAATACCTGTATGCAGGTTGTTTTGTAATGTAAGTTTTCAGTAGTATGTTTAGTTTTATAAGATTACCATTAAACTGTCTTTCAAAGTGACTGTATAATTTTGCATTCACACCACCAAACTGAGTTTCTGTTTCTCCACATTTTTCTAGCATTTAGTGTCAGTGTTTTGCATTTAAGTCATTTTAATTGATGTGTAGTGGTATCTCTTTGTTTTAATTGCAGTTCCCTAATGACAAGATGTGATCGAACATCTTGTCACATACTTCTTGCCATCTATATATCCTTTTCATGAGTTGTCCAGGTGTTTTGCCCATTTTTAAAATTGGGGTATTCATTTTTCTTTTTAGTTTTAAGGGTTATTTTAGAAAAAAGTGTGACTAAAAAAAAGAGTTCTTTTATAATTTGGATGACAATTCTTTATAAGATCTGTCTTTTTTACGTATTTGGTTTTTCACTGCTGGGGAGTGAATCCAGGATCTTGGGCGTGCTGGGAAAGCACTCTACCACTACAAATGTCTTCTACAAATATATTTTCCCCTACTTTGTGGCTTGTTCTCATTCTCTTGATATTGTCTTTTACAGAACAGATTTGCAATTTTATTGAAGTCCATAATATTTTTTTCATGGATTGCATTTCTGGTGTATATCTACAGTGTTATCACTATACCCACATTCATCTAGGTTTTCTCTTGTTACCTTCTAGGGGTTTTATAGTTTTGTGTTTTACATTTAAGTCTCTGATTCATTTTGAGTGTGTGTGTGTGTGTGTGTGTGTGTGTGTGGGCTGTAAACGCTGTCGACATTTTTTGTGCATGTCTAGTTGGTCCACAACATTTCTTGAAAAGACTGTCCCTGTTCCTTTGAATGACTTGTGCTGCTTTATCCTTTATCAAAGATTAGTTGACTGTATTTATGTGGGCTTATTTCTGAACTCTCTACTCCATCGTTGATGTCTTTCCCTTAGCCAATACCACATGGTATTGATTACACAAACTTTATAGTTAAGTCTTAAAGTCAGGTAGTTTTAGTCCTCCAACTTTTTTATTCTCTTTTAATATTGAGTTACCTAATCTGGGTCTTTTGCCTCTTCAAATAAAGCTTAGATCAATTTGTCAATATCTAGAAAATAACTGGCAGGGGTTTTAACTCAGATTGTGTTTAATCTATAGGTCAGTTTGGAAAAAATTGATATCTTTACAATACTGAGTTTCCTATTGTACCTGGAAAATTCTCCTTTTAATTCTTCATTGATATCTTTTGCTAGACTATTGTAGTTTATATAGATCTGTGAAAATTTTGTTAGACTTGTACATACATATTTCATTTTGGAGGTTACTAACGTAAATGGTAATGTAGTTTTTTTTCTTTATTCATTTATTCATATGTACATACATTATGCCATTTCCCCCCCTCCCCCCTTCCCCTCCCTCTTCCCCACACCCCCCTTGCTTCTAAGCAGAACTGTTCTGCCCTTTTCTCCAGTTTTGTTGAAGAATATACATAAGCAATAATGAGAAAGACATTGCGTTTTTGCTGGTTGAGCTAAGGATAGCTATACAGAGAGATTCCTAGCATTGTTCCATGCACAAGTGTGTTACAACCCAAATTGATTCACCTCTACCAGACCTCTTCACTACTTTCCTGTCACCTTCCCATATTGACCTCTGTCGTTTTGAGGTTACTGTATTAGCTCCTCTGCAGTGGGCACATCAAACACTTTCAAGTTTTGGGTTTCCTCCTGTATGTGTCCTCCCCTTAGCGTGAGACCCAAGTCTAATAATACTACTGCATTTGTTTTAGATCTAAAGTCCACATATGAGGAGAACATACGATTTTTGGCTTTCTGAGCCTGGCTAACTTCGCTTAAGATGATGTTCTCCAGTTCCATCCATTTACTTGTAAATGACAAGATTTCATTCTTCTTCATGGCTGAGTAAAACTCCATTGTGTATAAATACCACATTTTCTTAATCCATTTGTCAGTAATGGGGCATCTTGGCTATTTCCATAAGTTGGCTGTTGTGAATAATGATAAACATGGGTGTGCAGGTTACTATGGAGTAACCTGAGTAGCGTTCATTTGGGTATATCCCTAGGAGTGGTATTGCTGGAACATATGGCAGATCTATGTTTAGTTTTTTAAGAAGCCTCCATAGTGTTTTCCAAAGTGGCTGTACTAGCTTGCATTCCCACCAGCAGTGTATGAGGGTTCCTTTTTCCCCACATCCTTGCCAACATTTGTTGTTGGTGGTGTTTTTGATGGTAGCTATTCTAACAGGGGTGAGGTGGAATCTTAGTGTGGTTTTGATTTGCATTTCCTTTATGGCCAGAGATGGCAAGCATTTTTTCATGTGTTTCTTGGCATTTGAATTTCTTCTTTTGAAAAAGTTCTGTTTAGTTCAGTTGCCCATTCCTTTATTGGTTCATTGATTTTGGGGGCGTTTAGTTTTTTGAGCTCCCTGTATATTCTGGTTATCAGTAGATGTATAGCTGGCAAATATTTTCTTCCACTCTGTGGATGGTCTCTTCAGTTTACAGACCATTTCTTTTGTTGTGCAGAAGCTTTTTAGTTTTATGAAGTTCAATTTTGTCCATCCTTTCTCTTAGTTACTGAGTTGCTGACATTAAGATTCTTAATCCGGTTTGAGTTGATACTAGTACAGGGTGACAGTCTAATTTGAGTTTTCTGCAGGCAGATAACCACTTTTCCCAGCACCATTTGTTGAAGAGGCTGTCTTTTCTCCATTGTATGTTTTTGACGCCTTTGTCAAAAATAAGATGGGCATGGCTGTGTGGATTCATATCCAGGTCCTCTATTCCATTCCACTGGTCTTCATATCTGTTTTAGTGCTAATACCATACTGTTTTTATGGCTATTACTTTGTAATATAGTTTGAAGTCAGGTATTGTGATATCTCTAGCATTGCTCTTTTTGCTGAGTATTGCCTTGGCTATTTGCGGTCTCTTGTGTTTGCAAATGAACTTTAGCGTAGATTTTTCAATCTCTGTGATGAATGTCATTGGGATTTTGATGGGAATTGAATTGAACATGTAGATTGCTTTTGGTAGTATAGCCACTTTTACTATGTTGGTTCTACCAATCCATGAGTACTGGAGATCTTCCACCTTCTGTAGTCTTCCTGGATCTCTTTCTTCAGTGGTTTGTATTTCTCCTTGTAGAGTCATTCATATCCTTTGTTAACTTTATTCCTAGGCATTTGATTTTTTTTGAGGTTACTGTATTGGAATTGTTTCCATATATTCTTTCACAGTTTGTTCATTGTTGGTGTATAGAAAACCTAATGATTTTTGTAAGTTTATTTTGTATCCTGCCACCTTGCTTAAGCTGCTATGGTGTCTAGGAATTTTTGGGTAGTTTTTTGGGTCTTTAAGATATAGGATCATGTTGTGTGTAAATAGGGATATTTTGACAGTTTCTTTGCCTATT